ACCACGGGATCACAAAACTTGAGGTAAAATTATCAGATCACCTAATCCAATGGTCTTCAAAGTGAGAGGTGAAGAATAGGAACTGCTCCTAAGGGAGTGTTTTTTCAACAAATACACAATCTTACACATGTTTTCCCCTAGACTCCACCATCCCCATTCTCACACATCTTGAGGATGTGTATTTGAACTCTTCACAGGGATGTATCAGATTGAGGGGAAGGTGTTGTAGGGCTGTATTTACCAAAAGCCCACTAGGTGATTCTGATATAATTGTACCAGTCTTCCAGCTGAAAACCTCTGACCTAATCTATTTTTTCCTTTTGAGTAAAATTACAACTCAAACAGCCCAGAAAGAATTCTGAAAGTATTCAGAAAAGTCTACAATTTATTCTCCAATGGACCTCTTTCATTTTCTCATAAGAACCACTGTTTGAAATGTATCATTTTCAATTTAGAATAAAATTCTTATTGTTTTTCTAGTTGTTAGTGCACATTTAGTACAGAAACTTGGAGAAATATAAACCTTCTATAAAAACATATGTGTATATATGTGTATATGTATGCATATGTTTATGTATACAATATTTTTTCAGTACAATATTTAATATAATAAGATGTTCATATATAAAGACCTCATTAGTATCTGCTGTCCAGTAGATAATGAAAATCTTTAATCTTAGTTTTTGTAAAGTTTATAGACACAGAAATGATTTCCTTGACCTGACTCTCATCAGACCTAACAAGTTAATTCAACGTTTATTAAAAGGATCAAAATGAACAGAATCACATTTTCTTTCTTGTCTTTTACTCCCAGACTCTTACTTTTATTACTTTCCAGAGGGTCCTCCTGTACCCCCCAAAGACTTGGAATTCATTTAGCCTGCAAGCAATGAAACAATGATATGTGACAAAACCACTGAGTTCGATATAGAGGATACATATCCAACTGAAAAACAGCAATGGCCAAAAAAATAGGGTAAGTGGAAAAGGCTTAAGATTCACAGGCAACTTAGAGTAGAGAAAGTCAAAGAATTACATTTATAAAATAAGAAAAAGTGGTTTATAGATACCATATCACAAAAGGAGAAATGTCTCTAGAATTAAATATCAAGGAACCCAATTTTGTTATATTATTGCTAAACGCCACAAACTTAGCATTGATCATTTAAAAACACTCTATAGTGTGAGGTTTAAGGAACGATGATTCCTAATTAGTGTTTTAATAAGTGTGTTAGCACTGCCTTGTGCCATTCTGGAATGTCACTTATGGTAAATTAAGGGACCCCATTTTCCATTAGTATTTTAATGCTAGGAGGTGGAAAAAAGCTGATCCATATTCAAGAGGAAAGAAGAAAAAACAATAACAAATTGGCATCTCTTCTGTGGATTGCCCCACAGGCCAAGCATTTTTATGTTCTTAATCATTATTAAATGACTTAACATGACACCCAGAGCCTGGCGAATGATTGCATCCTGACATGAGAACGAATTACAAATGAAATGAAAGATCAAGCCGTATTAGAGGATTGCCTCTGGGAAATGAAAATCTTTAATTCTCTTTTATTATTGACATTTATTTGGCTGCCATGAATAACAACATAGCAAAGAGATTCAGCTATGCTTGTGCACTGAATAGCTTATCCCAGGGCTCAAAACTGCATTAACATTTATCATGTTTGCTTTTGTAGCTGACACCACTGAACAGATTCTCTATCCATCTTGTATTTATCATGCATTGCAGATATAGTGCATCCTCTAATTTAAGTTCATTTTCATATAGTAGAAACAGCAAAGATTAGCCAGTGTCTTTCCTCAAATAAATTCCTACTGATTAGCATTCCTAAGAATGGTTTAATACATTTAATAAAGAACAAAATGAGTTGATAAGGAAATTCAGTCACAGAAAGGGAAGGCTAATTTTAAAGGTTTCAATTTTGCGAAATTTGTGCAAATTCACAATGAAGAAGACACTGGTACAATATGTATATCTAGAAGAAAGCCTGAAAATAAAAGCCTCCATAAAGAACAACCAAACAACATTTTATGACTCTGAAGGCAGTACGACAGTTTCTATAAAATACGAAGTCTGCATGTTTTTCACTTTTCCAAATGGTGTTTATTGCTAAGACAGGAATAGGGCACAGACTATAGTAAGTATATTACAGGAATACAGCAATTCAGATATTTATCAATGCAGGGATATCTTTTCATGACTTATTTATTTTCTCTCTTGTACAAATTAACATGCTGGCTTTCCGTGTCACAAAAAATAAAGCATTATATAGTACCTGGTGCCTGTTCTCACACGATCCTCTTTGACTGGATTGTCCTCCTCTCTTTAAATCTTTCCTAGAATTCTAGGCTTAGCAAGGATATCAATACATCTTGGGAAAACCAAGATATAATAGAAATAAAACTTAATATCTCTGAATCTTATTTGAAAAATTAATTTTTACTTTTCTGTCTTTCTGTTTCTTATACTTTTAATTATGGAAAATTTTAAACATATACATAAGTGGAGGTAATAGCATAATGACCAACCCCCATATACCCATCACTCAGTTTCCACAATTATTAATTCATGATGAATCTCATTTCATCTGTAACCCCACTTCACTATTTGCCACTCACTGAATTATTTTGAGACAAATGTTTTTTGAAGTAAATCTCTGAATCTTGCTTTTGACAATTCTAAAAAAGTTGGAATGAATTAATCCTAGGGTACCTACTCCCCCAAATTTGACAGTAATTTCTCCTTTGACACTTTTCAGGCTTATATATTTAATTCAACAAAAATTTACTTTATATTCACTATAACATCTTCTGTCAAGCTTTATTGATTTCCTTCTCTGGGTCAATACAACCCATGTAATCTGTACCAATAACTAAGAAGTATATTTCTTTGTATTCGTATATTGATGTATATTAATTTTATTTCCAAGTTAGATTTTTAAGGCTCATACCTGAAATTTCAGCAGAGTATTGAATAAACACAGAGATAATAATTGCTGTTTATAATAATTATTAACTGATTGGTTTTTATCTTAGTGGTTCAGGCAGAATTAAAAGGTTTGTATTTTGGCTTTAATAGTAGATAGCATCATATTGACAATATTAATCACTTTAATCTATAAAATATTTGTTGACCAGATGAAATTCCTATGACTATGAGTGCTATAAAATAGATGGCTGAAAAAAAACTGAAGTGAGGTTTCTTCTTCAAATTTAAAACTGAGGAAGTAACTTACTTCTGCATTTTATTTGTTCATAGTTGGATAAATTCATTTTATTTGAGCATAGGTATTTGGTAATTAAAATTTATTTTTTTTCATAAAAGACATTTCTAGATTGACAATATCTCTAAAATATTAAAGTAAATAAATTAAACCAAGGTGGATTTACTCAACTGAATTTTCATAAATCATCTTCTTGAAAATGAAATCTTTTTTACTAAGATAGAAGGTAAGTATATTTATTAAAATAAAAAAACTATAAAAGATACATTTTCACAGAAATAGAACAAACAATCCTAAATTTTATATGGAGCCACAAAAGACCTCGAATAGCCAAAGCTATCTTGAGAAAAAAGAACAAGACCGGAAGTTTCACACTTCCTTGTTTCAAACAATATTATAAAGATATAGTAATCAAAACAGTATGGTAATGGCATAAAAACAAACATAGAGAACAATGGAACAGACTAGAAAGCCTGGAAATAAACCCACACATTTTTGGTCAATTAATTTATGACAAAGGATCCACAAATACACAGTGGGGAAAAAACAGTCTCTTCAATAAATGGTGTTGGGTAAACTGGACAGCCACATGCAAAAGAATGAAACTGGACTACTAATTTACAATATACACAACAATTACCTTAAAATAGATTAAAGCCTTAAAAATAAGACCTGAAACCATAAAACTCTAAGAAGAAAACAGGGTTGGTAAGTTCCTTGACATTGGTTTGGCAGTAAATATTTTTTTTGGATTTGAAACCAAAAGCAAAGGCCACAAAAGCAAAAACAAACAAGTGAGACCACATCAAACTAAAAAGCACTTCTGTACAGCAAAGGAAACCACCAACAAAATAAAAGGGCAACCTATGAAATAGGAGAAAATATATGCAGATCATGTATTTGATTTATAAAGAACTCATACAACTCAATAGCAAAAAAATAAACAATCCAGTTAAAAAATAGACAGAGGATCTCAATAGACATCTTTTCAAAAAAGATATATAAATGGCCAACAGGTATGTGAAAAGGTACTCAATATCATTAATAATCAGAGAAATGCAAATCAAAACCACAATGATATATCACCTCATACCTGCTGGAGTGGCTGTTAGCAAAAAGACAAGAATTAAGTGATGACAAGGACGTGGAGAAAAGGGAACCCTGTGCACTGCTGGTGGAAATGTAAACTGGTACACCAAATATGGAAAACAATATGGAGTTTCCTGAACAAATTAAAAATAAAACTACCATATGATCCAGCAATTCCACTTCTGGTTATTTACTTAGAGGAAATGAAAACACTAACTCAGAATGATATCTGCACTCTCATGTTCATTGCTGTATTACTTACAACAGCCAAAACATGGAAACAACCTAAGTGGTCCATTTGATGGATGAAAGGATAAAAAAAAAAAAAAATGTAGCATATATATAAAATGAACTATCATTCAGCCATAAAAAAGAAGGAAAACCTGCCATTTGCAAAATAGGGATAGACAGTGAGGGCATTATGCTAAGTGACATAAGTCAGACAGAGAGAGACGAATAATGTATGATCTCGCTTGCACGTGGAATCTAAAAAAAACCCGAACTCATAGACAGAGAACAAATTGGTGGTTGTGTATGTGTGTGTGTGTATGTGCAAAATAAATGAAAGTGGTAAAAAAAGAAAAAAGAAAAAAAAACATTGTTTTGAATGAATTTTAACAGAAAGAATATAAAATTGTTATAAATGATTAATCTACACATCGTTTGCACATGTACCTGTAGCCATTATAGTGTCATCACTCCCTTGGGTGAAAATCACGACTCGCTGCCTCTTCAAGTTCACCTTTGGCAAAGCTTGTGTCTTTCTGGCTATCTCTTTAATGTCTTCAGTCTATTAATAGAAAGGAGAAAAAAAATCTCAAAACCAATGCAATAAAGCAAAGCTTTATTAGTACATTAAGGATTTAGCCTCTCATATGCAAAATAACAGAGGCTTGAACATTTATTAAGAGCTATTATTTAAAAATTTTAACCACATACGAAAGTAAATAGAATAGTACAATAACCTCTCAGGAGCCTACCATCAAATTGTAATCATTTTAAATTTATGATAAATCTTATTTCATCTGTATCTTCATCCATGCACCTTTCATAATATTCTAAAGCAAATCCCAGATATTATATAATGTCATCTGTAAATCTGAAAGATAACAACTTAAACATAACCATATAATTATTTTATTTTTAAAAATAAATATTAATTCCTTAATATCAGCAAATATCTAGTCAGTAGTTTTCGATTTTCCAATAAAAGATTTGTAAAAAGAATACTGGATTATTTTAGATGTTTACAGAGCATAATTATGTTGACTCTGGAAATAACACAGTTGTTGTAAGGCCAAATTTTTCAAAGAAGTAAAATGAAAGAGATGCTAACCATTTTCTGCAGACTTAATTTATTTTAAAAGCTAAAGTTTAAAAAATTACAAATTAATTCTAGAAGACCCAATGCTATTATTCACATTAGGTGTATGAAGCAACCACCAAGTTTTACATCATAAATGTTATTGACTTGAAATCTAACTCTTAAGCTATGGGTAGGATTTTTAGAATTATGTTCTCAATAATTTTAGATAATTTAAAAATCCATGTATGACTTCAGTGGGCTTCTAAAACTGCCCCGGTTTTACTTGTTAGTTCTCTATCACTGTGCGATGTGTCAAATAGTTATGGAGAGAGAAACACATACCAGAGGGGGAATGTATCTGAGTGGCATAAAGCAAATTAATTGGGATATATAGGACAGAAAAATTTAGGTAAGCAAGTCAGACAAGTCGTAATTGTTACAAACAACATCAGAAACCATGACATTTTTAAAGGTATGACAATCTTTAGTGAAATACTTTTATGCTGTTTGTTCACGAAATACTTAAGAAATCACAGATGATATATGAAGCTAAGCTTCTATTACACCTAACACGATATAATTCCAGGGGGCTGTTGCTTCTGAAAAGAATAGCCACTTGTGGTAGGACAATGCTGCTGACCTTTCAAACATGCTGACTGTTCCACTTTTGGTTGCTTATTTTAAAACACAACTAAGCCTGAACTCGAACAAGATGAGAAAAGAAATTCCCTCAGTTTTGGAGATAGACTATTTGAAATGACCAGTTAAAAAAAAAAGAAAGAGAAGAAAAACCCAAATGACTAGTAACAGCTGAAAGGATCAAAAAAATGCCATATTAACAATGTATTCACTCTCTCAAATTAATGTATATATTTAATTAAGATTCTCCCAATCTCCTTACAACATATATTTTTACTGCTGTAGGATTTTTGGTTATGACTGAGTACAGTTCATATTTAATAAAGATAAGAGGCAAACTCCAGGAATAGATTCACTTTATCGACTTGGGAGCAGCACCTTACACATGTACTGGATGTTTTTTTAAATAGAGATCTTTCTTCGACGTGGTATGAGAAATAAATTAAGAATGAGGTTCCACGATTGTCTTCTACCGACCGTGTGCGAAGATATATTTTTTCATGGAGTTTCGGTAACCTAATCAAAGAAAACTTTCTTATGTCTCGAATCTTATAAAACTGACAATTCAAGATTGAAATAAACTTTCCAAATATAAAACATAAATCCTTACAGATGGTTACATTTTATTCTATTTGTATCTACATCTAGTTCATACAAAACCCCTCTGTCATTTTGGGGTAACGGGCAGTGAGCACCAAATCTAAATATCTTACTATGCCTTGAGAAGCCATTGCTTGCCCTCAGTTGTTGATCCTCACCTAGTATAAAACTTTTCTTAAAACTTCAATTTTGTCTTCTCAAAGCTACCTATTTCTAGTTTTGTAATTACTCTCTCCCTCCTGCCAATAGATTCTTTCCCCTTATACTTGGGCTAACCTATCTTAAGAGAATAGTGAAATTACTAGGGATTTAGAGTATGACACACTTGGATTTGTGTACCTTGAGCAGGTAAATAAACCTTTCTGAGGCTCCATTTCCTCATATATAATACTAAGAAAATATGGTAAAATATACTGGAGAGAAATAAACTAAAATTAGTGGGCAAAAGCTTGAAGACAATAATGATATTTGCATAGCCTCAAAGTATCTCCCCCTAAAATAGTTATTCATTACAAAAGGAAAAGTAGTTATGTCACAGTGGAGAAAATTGACAGATATCACTTTACCTTGGTGATCAAATTTAGTGATGTTAAAATTAGTGGGCAAAGAGGATATTTGAATAGTCCCAAAATATCGCCCCTAAGATATTAACTACAATGAGAAAACAGTAACTTTACAGAGGATAAACTACAAACACCACCTTAACTCAGTGATCAAGGTCAACATCACCAGTCATAAGACATCATATACATCCCTAATATGATGCATTGAGAAGGGCACAGCACTTCTGTGGTATTTCTGGCAAAAATACATAACCTCAACTTAATTATGAGAAAATATCACACAATCCCAAGTTGAGGGACATTCTACAAAATGACTGACAAGTACACTTGATCACTATGCCTTGGTTATATAAGATGTTAAGATTAGAAGCTAAGTGAAAAGTATCTGGGAACTTTGTACTATTTTTGCAAATTTTCTAAGTCTAAAATTTTTCAAAATAAAGAGTTAAAAATACTTGTGAGGGCAAAAGAGAATAAGGTAAGTGAAAGAGGTTAATGTAATATTTAGCACATGCTAAGTACTTAATAAATATTAATTTCTTTCCTCTACTGAAAATCATTTTAATACTCTCCAAAACTTTCACATCCTGAGGTCTCCCTCAAATCTCCAGAAAGGGGCCTCAAGAGTTTTGAGTATTGAGAATTCAATTATGGTCTATAATAAGGGAGGATAAAAAGGAAATGGGAGAGAAGTGGAAGAAAGTTCATGCAATTTAGCTATGAGCCGTGTATATAGCTCTAAAATGCTTAATAAATCCTAACTTCTCTAGCCAGTGAATATTATTACTATATGCCTATTTTATAGATGCAGAGACCAAGAGCCATGTATATAGCTCTAAAGTACTCATTAAGTCTCAAGTACTCCTGGTAATAAGTACTAGTACTACACCCTCATTTTACAGATGAGGAAACTGAGTCACAGAGAGGTTAAGTAACTTCCTAAGGTCATAAGTATACTAGATGGTGAAGCCAGGTCTAGCATCCATTAAGTCTGACTCCAGGGATTACACTCTTAACCACTGTTCCAAACTACTTACAGATTAACTACTTCTACGAATTTTAGCAATGTGCTTTCTGTTGTCATCATAAAACTATAGCATGTTCATCCTAAATTATTTTTCTGCTACAGTCATAAGTCATTACTGATCTTGTATTTAAGTTTGCTATTTTTTCCTAATTATTCTGGCTTGTATTTTACCCTAGTGAATATCGATATTTTGAATTTCAAGATATTTCTCATTTTCCAAGGTCATTGGGAAATCTAGCCTCCTCTTCCAACACATTAGAGTATGAGAGAGAAAGATGTGTAGTTTATATGAGAAAGAGTACTGAACTCAGAGAGCTGAGCTCTGGTTCTGGCTCCATTATGTATTAGCTTGTACCTTGTACAAGTCACGTAGCCTATTTTTTATTTTTTGAATTTACATGGCAATACATGGCCTATGTATCCTCAAAGATTTGTGTGAATATTAAATGAATTAATGAAATGTGGAATAAGGTTTTATAAACTATGGAGTATTTTATAAATGTTAAATTATGCTTTTATTGTCACTGGTGATTACACATCTTAAATTTAGCATTGTCTTCCAAATTAAAGAGTATACTCTTCTAATTCCATTTCTAACAAACTGGTAATGCAAATGTTAAACCACAGTATAACTATCTACACCTACAGAATACCAATTGTGATGTTCCTACACATTGCCCCACCTAACCAGACCATATTGTTTTGTTTTCTAAATAGAAACTCCTATAATAATTATGGTGTTGATATGATGTGTCACTCTCCAGTCTTATCTCATACTTCCTTCCTCCTTACTCACTCCATTACATTGGCCTTCTGTCAGTTCTTGGAGGTACATAGTATATTATGCTCTTTCTTATTTGGGGGCCTTTCTACTCTTGTTCCCTTTGTTTGAAATTTGTTTCCCTGTTTCGCTTTTTTTTCTGTCATAGCTAGATAATGTAGTTTTCAGTTTTTACTTCCTCAGAGAGTTGTTTCATGACCATCGTATCCAAAATAGGAACCGCTCCCATGTTCTCTTTCACAGTGCACTCTCTGGTCATTTCTGCCTTGCCTTCAGGGTCTATCAAAGTGTTAGGTATGTTAGGTACATAGCTAGTACTGAGTAGTATATATTTGTTGAATGAATAAATGATTAAATGAAGAGAACTGGAAGACTAATTTTTCTCTT